CACAGTCTTGTAGGTGATGAATTGTTTTCCACCCTACAATCAATTTCCGACAAGCGAAACGTTGTTGGCCTCTCGCTACTCTGTCGCAAATTTCAAACATGTTCGAGCAAACTACATTCTTTGTTTCTACCAATCCAGACATTTCGCGTTAAAACCCGTCATGCCACGTCAACTGAATCGACGCATCTTTATTCGCTTTATAATTTATTGGTGAGAATGCAGTTCCGCACAAACAGCTTCTTCCCCAGAACAGTTGCATTGTAGAACAGATTTCCCAACAGATGATTCCCTAATCATTACAATCTTAAGCCTTTGAAATCTAACCTCAACCATTTTCTGTCCTATATATCTGTTATATATGAATAAAATGTTGCTGCCGACACTTGAGTTTGAACATAGATCGCCAGTGAGTAAACACAAGCGATCCTATTATTGAATTAAGTGGATCACGTGACCATAGAGGAAACGCATATATAAGAAGTCGCGTGACGTCTAAATGATCTCCATTTCTAGTCTATCCTCTATTACTATACGTACCGCTATTCTTTACTCTGTTCTCTATAGTGTTTCTTTATTCAGGTCACCATACGGATTACTATTCGAGCATGTATTAGTGAGTGTGTTATTGGAAGGCGTTTAACACCAGCATTGTTCAACGGCGTTATATAGTTATATCTACGATTACAAAGTCTCTACTACAACGAGCATTACAAAAGTGACAACGAATATTCGTTGATATCACAAAAAATATCTTTGGTGATGTTTTTGACTTTGCACTGGATGAAGAGCAGTAGCCCTATGGCCTTGTGAATAATAGTAAAAAAATTGTATTTGATCTTCCTCATAAGGCTGATAATCTTGTAAAATTTGTAAAACCCTGGTCATTTCATTTACGCATGTACAGAAGAGGAAGGAAGTCCAATGCTCACATAATTTGAGATAACAACCGAGCCATTTTGTTTACTCTTGTTTTTATTGGTTAAATCATATGAAAAGGTTTTTACCCGACAGAAGTTTGTTACCCTACGCAGCAACTGACAAATACCCTATTTAGAAAGTTACCCTCTCTTATTTCCTGTAACCTAAATATAACTTCAACAAATGAAGACATAGAGTAGCCAGTAAATTTGGAGCTTAAGGCTATAAAATGCAATTACTTCGATGATTAACAACCACGCTTAAAGATGTTAGATATGTACGTATGTCCACAGACAAAATATGTGGTGGACATTTCATATACATTTCTTTTATTAGTGGATAAACGTATTTCAGTAGATGTCTTTATTTTCTAAAGAGTGTAAATTTACATCTAATGGCTGTATATATGAGAGTCTTAAGAAAGAACTTGTTCCTTCTCTCACTTTCACTCCCTGTAACCCCCGACATACTAGTAGCATTCTCACCTTCCTTGGGGTGAAATGATTTATATATATATATTGCGCCAAGTAATTGAGAACAAGTTATAATGAAACATATATTCAACAGAAAAAAGTATATTATTTTCAAAACTGGTAGGTTTAAAGTAATTTCTCATAGGTCTTCATCGTCCATCGATACAGATAGAAACTATAGATCTTCATTATAAAAGGAATACATGAGGAGAAGTTAGGTCCTTCTCTGACTACTAATTATAATATGCAAGTAGCAATGGGCGTTGTGATTTAGAGGAAAGGATCTTAAGTGTCTGTAGTCGTTATTTTTTATTCTAATTCCCTGTACGGATCCAGATTAATGGGGTAGTACGTGGACGTCTGAATCCAGTAAATGCATGTAGTGAAAAGTGGAACTTTGTTTTTGAAGTCTGAAATTGATGTCAGTTGATTAAGGTCTTTCCCTTTCCTTCTTTTTTTTCCCATCATGTGAAAAATATTTATTTTAAGTATTTAAAAAAAAATTATTTTTTGTCACTGCCACCAAACATTGTACACGTGTCCAACTGAGAAAAAAGCAGAGAGATGATATTTAATAAAAGCGCCGCTAACATAGGGAACGATCTTGGTACAGCCTCGAAAGTGATTAAATGCCCGGAGCAGATGTTATCGTTCATATTGGCCATCAAAACCGCTGGTCGTTTTATTTTTCTCTTTCAACGTAGCAGTTTTATAGGATTCGAACCAGGAGAGCTAGGTCGCATGTTGGGTGGGACCATGGAAAAGAGAGTACAGTTCTTCAGAAACACGTACAGCAATCCCTCGATTTACCGCTGTGTGTAACAGGACAATTTAAGCGATGTTATTCACTGAGATCTTGTGGTAATAACTGGGGCGATATCTATGGCCCTTTTGTCTGTTATTCCAAAGACCAGCAGAAACGATATCAACGTGGGATGTATCACTGTACCTCTCTTCCTGCTCATCTAATCACTTTCAAGGAGCTCCTTATCACTGCTTTGGTGGGCCTTTTAATTTCTAGCACGGATGTGCATGAAAGAGACATGAAAAATATGTTAAAATTAAGTGTATGCAGCGTAAGCACAATTTTTAGCTCGTCTTTTATTGAGGCTCACTAAATATATTCTCAATTGCCTAGAGCACCCTATTATATATATATATATATATATATATAGTAAAGCTAAAAAAATTAAAAAAATCCGTTGGTATATAATCCAAGTGGATTTTAGCAATATAAAACTGATCTACAAAAGAGCTTGATGTATTTATTAATACAGAGCAATGAATTAGTTTTAAAATGTCGACACAAAAATAAATTCAGATTTCCATAATATATGTTTAGCTTCATTAGCGACCATATTTCCATAATATTCACTCTTCTCTAAGTCTTCAAATGTCGACAATATAACTAATTCTAATTTCAATATTGAATTCCCCCTTTATAACCTTTTTATACTAGATTAATTATAATTTATAAACTTTCCCCTACTCTAAGATCTCCTCAACTCTCTTCCCGCTAATCCCTTCAATCCTTTTATCTATATATTTTAAATTTATTTTTAGATCCCTTTTTATTCCTCTTTTAATTTTAAATTAAAAATTCATTTTTTCATATAACCCCAAATTAATGGCATAAAGTTAATATTCGGGTTTATTTTCATAAAACTTCTTCCCTTTAAGACAAAACCCTTCTACCCTCCCCTGACTCCTGACCCGTGCCTTTCGTCTGATTGAAACATTGAAATGTATAAAGTCTATATGTTTTCGGCAGGTAGGTTTCTTTAGCTTTCACAGTTAACGTTTACTTCCTGCTTCTTCTAACTGTATAAACATGAACTAAAATAATTAAGAAAATAATTTAATGCACTAGATTTTGATATTGAGTACTTTTTCGTCGGACATGGATAGTTCTTTTTAAATTAAATAAAGGTTTCATACCGAAATTGCCTGAAAGTTAACCAGTTCGAAAAACACTTGATGAAGGCCGGGTTGGAGACATCGGCCGAAACGTTGTTAAAATAGCAAGAAAAACGAGGACAAAATCTGATTGTATATAATGTAATCACCGAAATTCATAGAGAAAAACATAAGGATTTTTTTACCTTGTTCCAGGAAGTGTGATGGGCTCTTTTTTGTTTGTATTTTTTTTTTTTTTTCGTGTGCGTTTCTTTTTCTAATGCTGGGGATGGGTGTCCCACACACAACTTTCATTTGATACTGCTCTATTTGGCTTTTATGAGTCGATTTCAATCTCCAATGTTACTAAAAATTGACTGTTATGAAAACATTTTTTTATCCTAAAAGTAATTCTGAATATAGCTTAATTATTCAACTGATTCGTTTTCTACGTATAAAGGATTGATACGCCGTAAATAACGAATCAATAAAAAAAAAGTAAAAGCATGATTAATGCAGCTAAGTTTTCCATTCACCCAAAGCGCACAAGGTTAATGAAAAAGTTAAACTAGAATTTGCGGAAGACAGGAGATGACTTTTTGATCGCGTTGGTCTTCAAAAAACGCTAAGAAAATAGGTAAGATTCTTAATGTAGATTTTTGGTTTTAGAACGGGCAAGGTTGAAGGACAGATGTAATTACGCGTGCTGTGCAATTGATTTGCCCTAATGCAAGCAAAATCTTTCTGTATCTCGAGTAAGCCGTCGTCATCAGCTTAACCTACTGTCATCTAAAACTAAAGATGTAATTGAAATTGCTTTATATCCTTCTAAGGCAGTGGTTCTTAACTGATTTGGGGCAATGCCTCACTTTGGTATTTCTAAAATTCTGGTACCAGCCTGTAATATGTAATTCTTACATGCATGCCAGTTACATATGTTCGTACATACTCATAAAATATTTTTATGGATGCATACTGTATCGGCATTGTATGCATTAACACATATTAACACTCTCACTCAGACTCACTAGAAAACAAATCACTCTTAATAGCTCATTCTTGAATTGACCCCTTATTCTGTTGGTATAGTAAGCCGAAGGGTGTATATCCTACACACGCTCCACCAAAATATTACCATACCACACCGGTGGGGCATGCGCCCCATATTGGGAATAAGTGTCCTAAGGTTTTAACTCAGGCTTGTACTCTCGGGTGTACATATTCACACAGAGGAAGAATGACCCCATGCGTTCCTGTATTCTACACCTTCTGCCCTTGTTGAAGCAAAAGTGGTAAATGGAGCTAAAAGAGTCTAGAATTGTCGAATCATAGAACATGCATATTCAATAGAAGATAGATTTAGTAATGGTTAATGATTAGTGCGGACATCATATGGACGGCTATTATTCTGCTAAAACATCATATCATCATCCTGTTGCAGATTGATTTATTCGTTTTCTACGGCTTATCATCCCTTTGCAGGTTATGTAAAACCAGAAAATATTTTAGATTGTAAGAAATTTTTTTAGGTAATAATTTTAGGGATACAAGCTTTATTAATTAACCCATATCTGGGGGGATAAGAAGTTGATTCATAGCTTTCCCACGGTTATTTGCACGTAAGTGAACTTAACAAAGTCAAATGGAATTGGAATTCGGCTCTCCGATTAAAAATCCAAAGACATTATCCATTACGCTTCCCGCAAAGCCAAGATTACAACACCTGATATTCCCAAACGGTTACCCATCTATGTACTGACCGGGCTTGATGTTGCTTAACTTCAGTGGTAGTACGGGAACCGATGTTTCGACTTGATATGGCCGTAAGACTTTTAATATAAGTAATGCTTCTTCTCTTTCATAACTCCTGACGTCAGTATAAGTGCAGAATTGCTAAGTGAAGAATTGTGTAATTTTTTTAAAATTTCATGTTGACAAACAAAATGTCTTTAACATCTCCAAAATAACATTTCTGGGATAGGGTTAATTAAAACTTGTAGTTTTCACTTTATTTCTATAGATGCATTCCAGACGTTTTTGTTGTGCTTTTTGTCACACTCTCTACATGGATTACCCACCTAAAGTCTTTGTGAATTTGTGTTTCTATCTTCCAGGACAAACAGAAGAAATTGTGGCACACGCCATACTATGATAACGAGGTGAAGTTAAAACAGCTCTACATTAAAATTTGCAAACACTTACCAGCTTATGGTTGTAAACTCTATCCAGTAAAGGAAAGTCTACGAGGGAATACACAAAAGAAGGTAATGTTATTTCAATTCCTTTTTATTTCCAGCGCTAATAAAACACGACATTCTGGTTGCAAGACGTAGCTTGCTGGCTTTTTTGCATGCTTTTCTTTTCTTTTCTTTTTCCCTTTTTTTCTATCGTTTGGTTTTTCCAGTATAAATTGCTTATAAACATCTCAAATAAATGAATGAATGTGCGGCCATTTTTTTAAGAAAATGAGATAAACACTGATTCTAAATGTTTTAGAATTAAACTATTGACACTAGAAAATGTTGCTGATCGTAACAGGATAAAAAAAAAAGAAACACCTTCAAATGAATAACAATATTTAAAATATGTCAGCTGCTATTAAGGAAATATTTTCATCGAATTTTAAATAGACAATATGAGTTGAAACGTGATAAACATAATAGATGTCGCCTCGATCGAGATTGAAGATTTTAGATTCTTAAATATATGCTTTCAGTTTTATTTTTGGCAATTGTCTGGTTTAATCAAGATTTATTCGGTTGGAAATTTCTTAGGTGAATCGTTGCTATTATTATTCATTTTTGACTATTATTTCTTTCACCTCTTTTTATAACCAGTTTTATTCTCATCGTCATCATCATCAGTCCTATTACCGGGTGTGATTGTAGGTCGATTCGCATCTGAGTACATGATCAGATCCCTCTAAATACTTCAATAGGTAACCATTCATATGTAGTCCATCCTTCTCCAGGTCAAACAATAGCCGATGTGCAAATTGAAGCTTTGCCTGGGTTACGGACATATTGGACATTAATTATATTGAGGGAAACCTCCGCCATGACCGTTGACTTTAGCCATCCCTCCGCACTGTGAAGCCGTGTTATCATCGGATGTAGCACCAATATTTCATTATAAATGGACTGAGCTTTCTAGCCTTGAGTGGCAACCAGTAGAAGAAAGTGTATCTATTCCAAACCACGGAGAAGTGTGGCATGGTGAAATGGACTTGTCTCTTTCTGGTTTTATAACGAAACGGACTCTTCTATTGGTGATTTTTAATAAGCTATAGCTTTTCCTGTTCTCCAATTATTACTTCCTGACAAGTACATATTTAAATAAAAGCTTGTAATGCCTACATCGTTTTCTGTCTATATCTCTGAGATGAGGTATTATGATTTTGCATTATTTACAGAATTCGGACTGTTATCCTCATCTTCATTGTCATATTCACAACGTTTCGGCCGTTGTACGCTCTGGCCTTCTTCAGGTGACTGACATTCAGAACCGAACTCTTTATTTCGTCCATCGGGATATATTGTTCAAGTTCCACGTGTCATGCCTCTTCCGGATGTCTTAGTTATTTCTCTTTAACTCTACTCTCCAAGTCCTATTAGTTCACCATTGCTGTGGCTTGGTATTGAACTCACATCTCTTTGTGTCTAGTCACTGGATCTAACCAACGTCTTTATCCACTGGGCCATGTGTCCTTGAAGAAGGCCGGAGTGTACAACAGCCGAAACGTTGTGGATATGGTAATGAAGATGGGGATAATAGACCAAATAAGGTAAAGTAAATAATCCAAGTGATGCATCGTTTTCTTTTTCGATTGAAAGAGTACCGTTGCAAAACAAGGAATTAAGGCATGAAAGCTACGGAAAACTACTCTAATATATTTCCCAAGAATGCTTGGTAGTTGACAGTGAATAAACAAATGGAATCTGTCGAGATTCATACTTATCAGTATCATGAAGTGTCTTGGTTTTACAAGAATTAATAAATAAAAACGAAAAAGGTTGTTTACCAAATTGTTTTGTAAAGTGTTATCAACAATTTGAGTAAGTCTGTAAATCTAAATTTTTTCAATCATATTTGTGACCGTTTTTGTCGTTCAACTTTAGAATGTAAAAAGAAAATCACACCTGATCTTAATATTAGCTAAGGACAGCATACGGCCAAATACGTATTGTGTTGCATGACGTCTGAGTTTCCTTGTGGTCTATCGGCAATTCCTCTGTCCCTAACGCTGCATCACAGATTGAACGAACGAGGAATAATTTTCTGTGGGTTTCTGTCCATTCTGGTGTCCTCGCTCTTCATCTCGTGGTCCTTGACAAACTACAGAGACGGATATGCAATGCGATAAGTCCTGATCTAGCGTCTAGTCTACAGTCACTTTCTCACAGACGTGATATGGCTCTCGTCTGTACTGGTCAGAACTTTGACGACTCGAACTAAGGAGAACCGGTTTGAATCCAGTTTGGGTTAATGAATTTTGCCTCTATTTTAGTTTTAGTAGAAAATCGAAAATGCGTGAATATAATCAATACAGTGATAGCGATAGAAAAGTGTAGCCGCCTTTCCACTCTCAGATTTCTTAGCGTGTTATGGCTTCAGCAGAGACAAGCCAAGACATGGTGATGGCTAGTCAATGACCGACGTGTTAAGGTCCGTTCTCTCTATCTCCCTCTTACTTTCTGAAATAATATGTATATTTTTTAAGCATTTCACTCCAAGCAAGGCGGGAGTGCAACTACAACGCAAGAGGTTACAGAGAGTGAGAGTAAGGAAGGGTGTTTGAGGGAAGGATAAAGAGAAGGACAGGGAACAGGATCAGGGTATCAGAAGGTGTCAGTTGACATTAAATTAGAATAATTGAAGATTATATCAGGGAATCAAGTAAGAGGAAGGGAGTTCCACTGTCAGGAAGTGCGAGAGAAGACGCTATTGGAGTAGAAGAGACGGTTACATTTAACTGTTTCGACAGTGAAAGGGTGAGACCGGGATGCCAGCCTAGTATCACGTTTAAATTCATGCGGTCTAGGAACTAGCAAAAGTAGCTCGTCAGAGCAGTTACCGTGAAAGTATTTGTAGAAAAGACAGAGGGAGGCGACGGCACGTCTGTGAGAGAGCGTCTGAAGACGAACCGCAGAGGCACCAGACCATATATGGCAGCTGTATTCCATGTAAGGTCGAATGGTTGATTTATAGATTTGAAGGTGTAGAATTTGGTAATAGCAACAGACAGTACTCGACTATAATAGAAGTTGAGTCTGACTGACCAAGTTTATATGCTGGTCAAATTGGTAGGTGGTTTATATGACAGCCTGGGAAATCCCATTCTCTTACCCGAGCAAGCCTATTCTGTAAGTTCTGATTGGCTGGTAATTCCGGTGTGGATATTGTGCTCAATAAATATCCTGCATACTGTAACTTATTCAACAGAGGGACACGTATTGAGTTACAACCCTGTTTATTTTTGTCATCCAACTGGACGCTAGTTGGAAACCTCCTTGATTGTTCAGAAGGATGAACTCGGTCGAGAAAAACTTTCTGGCGCGACACAGGGAACCAACTTTAATATATGATAAAGTTGAATTGTCGAGAAGATTTCAAATTTCGGCCAACTCAGTTCCAGTAAATCTCTAAATATTCTATTGCTAATAGCATAAATCCATCATTTCTCCCGTCATCTATTGGTTAAATAGCAGAGTAGACCAGACTATCTAACCCTTTATGGAAACCAGTATATAAAAAAAATGTTGTTTTTTTTAATCATTTCTCCTCAATTAAAGCAATAATGCCGAAAAGGTTGTGGGAAATGAGAAAACTTTAGTGTGGAGAAAGGACAATGAAAGAATAGAATTCAGGAAGACAGAAAATGGCGATTAGCGTTTCATTTAAATTTTTGAAAAACGTAGTTTGCAGGGAAGCAAGAAACTGGGGGAGAATTCCAAAGGCCAGAGAATTGAGAGAAACTAAACTATTCGAATGGAACTTATGGATATAAATAATTAAACGGTAAAACGATGAGACATAATTGCTAATCGAGTAGTACGCTTGGTTATTCTGAATTTAAAACCATGACTAAGGAAAAGATAAATCACTTTACTATTCTTCCCAAGATTCCATGTCAATTCCCAGATAATAAAGAATGGTGTTATGATCATCTACGTCCTAAATGGACATGGCATTAAATAAAAATCTAGTTTTATGATTATGCATAGTGTGGTTAATAGGGTTCTGTTTACTGTGAAAAACCACTATTGTTCTTTTTTAATAAACGTTTACTTGTTATTGTTAATGGCGACCTTGTTAATTTCGCTCCAACCTCCACATAAAGTCACATTATGCACTGTCTGTATTGACACTTGTAATGGCAATTATTGCGATGCAACTGCCTGAACAAGTAATTATGTGAGGGTAGTTTGCCAGAGACAGAACGTGGTTAGAAATGGATATAAGGCATTACCAATAGTCGTAGTTTGAAGTTGATTGTGACTGGTTTACTAATTTCCTTTTCCATTTTTCTCATGGTTACGTCCTCCGTCAGCGCCTCTGATCCCCGAAGTGTGAAACTGGCAGTTGCACTTAGATTTCTTTTTAATTCGCTTTTAGTGTCTCTCTCTGCTTCTTATGGAGCGATTTTTTAAAACTGATGCTGCATGTTAACAAGTTCATCATTAATAACAATTCAAATAGGTAACAACACAACAGTGTTATTAATGATGAACTTGTTAACATAATGTAAAAAAAACTATATCCTACCGCAGTACTTTGGTTTCGACCGTGAGGTTTCGTAGGTGGCTAGGTATCAACGCACACCAATTTTTTTATATTTAAAGACTTAGTCTGAAAATCTTATTGAATCGTGAAACATTCAGCATGCAGTGTTGATCTATGTCCATACTCTTTCTCATATATATATATATATATATATATATATATATATATATATAGGCAACATCAACAAAGCCCAGTCCATTTAAATCCTGTCGGATGAAACGCGTCACAAGAAATTTTCCAGTTTGTCATATTTTTCTAAATATATATATATTATATATATATATATATATAATGGGCTCTCCTATTGTGAACAATAATTGAGGGTCAGCAGTGGATGGTGCCTTTTGTTTTACACTTATGCATGCTAGCAGTGGCTATTGCGGAGAAAATCTGGTAAGGGAAAGATATTTCATTTGAATTTTCTTAGGTGAGATAATAGCCTATATATATATATATATATATATATATATATATATATAAA